AGAGAGAGAGAGAGAGAGAGAGAGAGAGAGAGAGAGAGAGAGAGAGATGTACAATACCACACATACGCTCCCACCACGATTTGTTACTGGACGTCGAGACGGGCAGTCAATCTAAACATCTCAGGTCTATTAAAAATTTGAGGTGAAAAAAAAAATTATACATAAATGGAAAAACGATGTAGAAGTGGTGCCTACGGAGACTAATACAAATTCTCTTTTAAACAAAACAACGAACCAAGTCAATTACACAATTTCGTTCAACAAGGCGGAGGTGAAGTTGTAATTATATCACTGGATTCTCCCCCTCCAATTGCACCCCTCCCGCCTAACTCATCCTCAACCTTTTAATCAATATCAGAGGTTAAGGTGTCGAGGTTGCGAGAACGGTGCATTCCCTCCACATCCCCTCCCTTCCCGCCATCCCCACCGGCCCCTCCCTGTGGTGTCAGCGGCAATTGTGCATCACCTTTGCCAGTGCATAAAGACGGTTGCAACTGACTTTCCGCCACGCTCGGCCCAACATCAGATTCTGACTCGATCTCAGATCTGCCTTGCATTGCAGCATTTGTTATCAATAAACTCCCGTACGTGGCACCTGCATCCGGCGGCAACGTCGTTGACACAGCGATGGGTGGGGACGATTGTGCCGCAGCGACCGAGATGGATTTTTTCGATATTTGCAGCATTGACGTCATGTCAACCTCTTGAGGCCCGACAACAGTAGTCCCGTCATCTTCCGTGTGCCCTGCTTGCGCGGCCACGGAGGCCGGCTCAGCCGAAGGCATGAAATCATGAGAGCAGCTCCCCTCCAAGGTTCTGGCGGTTTGATCAACCTTCCAGTTGATTGACCCGTGTGAGGGACTCGAGCGGAGGGCATAAAATTTGTTGTTGTACTCCAGTTGTCGATTGTCGCGCAAGACATGAAATAATTCTTCGGCCTTGGCTTTGATGGCGGCCTCGCTCTGCCCTGGATTCTCGACGCGCACGTGATGCAGGATCGCGAGYTCCGTYRTTTTCAACCAGATKYCCTTTGACATCYGGCGAAAAGTCTTCCAACCGCTTGTGTATTTCACCGCCATCTTCCACTCCCCATCTTGGATGCACGGCTGTAAAACGCCCTCATGCCATATGATGTCATGGCCCCATTGATCCTCGCCTGTGTGGGTGTGTTTGCCCTCCAAGAAATAAATCGTGTTCGGGTCAGCACAATAGCCTGGAGGAATTGCATCGCCTGGTGCAAGCGTCGACGCCTCGCCTGGTATCTCAATGTCGTCTTCTTCATTCCCACTGCATCTTCCAATGTCTTGCAATGCAGCAGTCTCCGACGGGGCCACCATTGAGGTGACGCTTGGGGCGGCCACCAGGATAGACCCTTCGTGCGAATGGACAGTTCCGTCATCATGAGCTTGCACCATTCCTCCGCGCGGAACCTCAGCACATGTGTCCTCGCCCAGTTCGAGGTCGGAGTCCGAAGAATTTTCCTCGCTGTCGATGGGGTTAAAGCCATCGCCCGATTTCACGAACTCCGCGTAGTCCTTGGACGTCAATTGGTCTGTGCGAAGATCGAACTTGAGGATCTCGCATCGAGCAACAAAAGTCTCAAAGGCGCCAGTGAGAGCACCGTGATAATGTTTGAGGGTCTTTGTTGCCTTTGCTTTCCTGTATATATATTTCTCGTCAAGCTGTCCTTGTGGCATATCGTGGAACAGGTACTCCCACACCTTCAGTCTCTTAGGCCCCAACTTGTGGAACATGTCCCTGTTCGGGCGATATTTGCAACGTGGTTCCTCGACGTGGCAATTGAATTTGTCGTCCTTGACAAGTATATCGATGAACTTTGTCAAGTATGCAATGTCCTTTGTCGACTCGTCACAGGCAATGACATTATTCCTTGCCAGTAAGAATTCCCACACAAGACCCGCGTGCGCCCTACCTTATAAAAGCACACCTTCCGCCTCCCCGACGAATGACCCGCACAACGAACGCAACTTGCCAGGCTCTCGCTCCCAGATGGAATACACCACACTTTCATCGCCCTCTATGCCACCGTGTTTCCCCAGACACTTCCCGAACTTGTCCTCCACAACATGCATGTTTGTGAGGTCATTGACAAGGCGGGGTGCGACTGTGACCTTTCTGAGATCCCCTCCCTCCGCGTGCAGGACAATGGCCATCATGTATCGACTCGCCGTAGCGATATTGCCATACCTCGTGATGTCATTCGATGGCCTGTCCACCCGTTTCCAGGTCCCGAGGATGAGTTCGATGCCCTCCCACTGGAATAAGCAACGCAGAACATCACTTTGCACCTTCTGCGGTGCAAAGACAAGAAGAACCCAATTAACGCCACAACACTTAGTCATCATAGAGTGCAGAGCGTCGAACTCTTGAGAGGTCCAGGTTGTGCAGAAGTTAGCGGGGGAGATGTCAAGGATGACGGCCCTGCAGGTCATTTTTTGCGCCACAGCGACGATGTCGTCTGGCGCAGCCAGCACTTCCTTCAAAGGCATGCACACCGGTAGCAATGTTGTTTGTTTTTGAAGTTTATCCCACACGATATGACGTGCGCTGGAGGCGACCCATTTGACCTCTGCCGAAGCAGATCGAGCTTATCGATTGAGGTGTATACAAACACCTTAAAGTGGAACGGAGCCTCCTTATACATTGCCGCCATAGGGCCCAAGCCTGATCCTTGCCTTGCCTCCTCCACCCCTCCAAGCCATCGAGGAACCGTCTTCACTTTGCTGACATGCAGCTTGTCCCGTTCCTTCTCCCATTCAGCTGCACACAGACCGTTCGGCCCATACCTGTCTTTGAGGTCCTTGTATGACTTGAAGAAGGCATCATTCCACTCATCGTCCGCCCTTCCCTCGGCGTGAAAAACAACGTAGTTGAACATACGGACCATGTACCGTTCCTTGCGCATGATGTCGAGGAGGCACTCCGTATTCACTCTCGGAGGCATGACCTTGA